TACTACCGGTGAATATGGAAAGCATTTAGAGAGATTCGTTAATGGGTACGCTACGGCATATATTGGTTTGATATAATATTGATTGAGTAATGACGATTTGATTCTCCTGTTTCAGCCTGGCGAACAATAAAAACTCCGCATTTTGTAAACATGTTTCAACATTCATTGATTGCACAATTAAGCAACTTGGAGGTAATCCACAAAAGACTCTTCAAAATGTGAGTGGATATTTTGTCCCACTTAAGTATCCTATATCTTGACATTCTTCTAGCCTAATTAAAAGTTATTCCGTCTGTTAGAAGGAAGAGTCCGATTTTATTATGAAGACGTCAATGAGTTTTTGTAATTAACGGAAATCCATAAATATGCAAAATCTTCAAATTCGGTTGGCCTCCAAATCGTCTTCCTTCTACTTGGCCTTTTTAATTTGACCAAGCAACTATAACTTCCATCGTTATATCATTTCCACTATTAATTATCATCGTCCATGTATAGGAGAAATTAAATGTAGGTCTTGATTGTAGCGGATTGCTACCTTAGTAAAGCCTGATCCACTCAGAAATCTCTACGGCAGATTCTCCAACACCTAGCTAGACTCCCAGAACCAGCTAAGAATTCTCCAACATCTAGCTAGACTCCCAGAACAAGCTAAGCTATAGTCCAGCTATAAGGGAAACTGACGTGTAGCACGAAATGCGTTTATTCGGTACGTATATTGACTACAGAGGATACAGACGTGTAGCACGGAACATTTATTCAGTAGCGGAAAACAGACGTGTAGCAAGGAATACGTTTATTCGATACGGGAAAACAGACGTGTAGCACGGAGCACGCTTATTCAGTACGGATTCAGACGTGTAGCACGGAGCACGTTTTTTCAGTACGGGTACAGACACGTAGCACGGAGCACGTACGGTCGCACCTCCCAATCTTGGCGTGCAGGCATGCGATGACGTGTCCCACATAATTATGGAAGTCATTCCCGCTTGATCATTAACAAATGAGCCGCACGGAATGTTCGGACTAAGTATTCCAGTATTCTCTTGGTATTAGCATGGTGCACATACTTAGATGTTTACAAGGTTTGTGTGCGAGTGTGTGTGTGTGTGTTTTTGTGCACGAGATCTCCTGACATGTAATTATCAATTTAAATGCAGGCTAGTTAACCTGGAAAGAAATTTATTCAATATATTTTTAAACCAACGAATAAAAGTGATTTTTTTAAACGAAAATCGCCTAATTCTTTAAAATATTACAAGTGACTTCGCAGTCTTACTGGAGGTATGTTATCAACATTCCAAACACTCCAAATGTTCTATTGGCAAATGAGCGATCTATTAAGCCCTGTTTCCACTTCTTTTTTGGGTCAACTCAGGTCCGGCAATTTATGGATGGTGTCACAAATTTCCTCCAAACCTCTCATGAAACCGAACTCCAAGAGGCAATTGAAGCCGAGGGAAAAGGTCTACGGGGACTTCAATACTTGGATGTTGCCCAGGAGCTTGAAGGACTAATTCAAGTCACTGTTCTTCGGCCACTTCATCGCAAATTAATTGAAAATCTCCAAAGGCATGGAAGCGAGTATGCACGATTACTTGTAGACTAATAATAAAGGTGTTTGTCTTTCTAGAATAGAAAAAAAATTAATAAATTTCATAATTCTCCTTTAAATAGAGCTGTTTCACCGGAGAAAGCAGAAGAATTCACAAATACGGTAAAGAGGGAATATCAAAATATGCCCAATTTTAATGAGGTGGGTTATCTTCG